ACCCCCTCCCGCGCACCACCCCAAGGCAGGAGTCCATTACGTGGCGGTCAGCATACCCGTTAATGGGGGGTCAATGATCCAGAACTCAATAATAGCATGATGGAATGAATTGTTTGACATTGGTTAAGAGAGATAATTAATGAAATGGGGGTAACTCATTGCCAATGTCAAAGAAATCCAATATAGACGTTGTATAGAAATGTATTAACCAAACCGTGTATATAAGATGGGAGAGGACAGTGGGAAATGCAAACATGTTCACGGATTTGAGGAGCCAATCACCTTCCTTTCTCTTTCTCTCTCTCTCTCTAAGCCCCTAGTAATCGTCTTCCGGGCGATAGTTGGCCATCGCATTGATACGATCGTCCACTGCGTAGATATCCATCACCTTCAGCTGGATCTGCTCCACAGTCTCACGAGTCAACGAGTCCGATATGGCCTAAAAGGGTGAGATTATTATTTCATTGGTCAAAGTAACGATTTTTAGAAAACATATGAAATTAAAAATGATCTCTGAGTACCAAAAAACAAAGATTTTGTATTATAAGGAAAAAATTCTATCGCATGGTTGTACAAGTGTTTGCTATTCAAGTATGCAAAATCCTTCACGAAATTCCCGGATAAAAGAAGGTCGAACACCTATGAAGTTCAAACTCATTGATGAACAATGGAATCTTGTCTCAAGGTAACGGAGCCTGGTGGTAACTATCAATTAACTGCTTTTTATCCTTAATCTTTCAATCACGGGGTGTGCGATAGACTCACCTCCACGTGGTGCACCCTGGGCAACGTATACTCATACGGCAAAAAAGTTTATTAACAGGCAGTTGACTTCTGACTTCAAACTACCATAACCCCACTGGATGCCATATTCTACCACTTCCACAGTAATCATCCTACCTTTTCTCTGCCTTTGTGTCTGTCTCTTTCACAACTGTAAACCACTCTTCTGTTCCCCATCCCTCGACTTTCTGTCTACTTTGATGTTCCTTCCCCCTGTGAAGCCCGAAGTCAGCTAAACGGCTAATGATAACTATCAAAACGCCTGCCATTTGAAATAAATAAATAAATCTTTCAATCACATATCTATTGAGCTCAAGCAGGGTAAGTTCTAGGAACAAATAAACAAAACAAAAGACGCAGTGTTGAGCTGAAAACAAATTCAAAACAATTGAAAACGGAAGGTCAAAATATCCCATACGACACCCGAACATCATTGCATTCTGAGTGGAGAAAAAACAATTCGATCGATCCGGATTTCTTATTAGCGTCTCTACACAAACCGTCTACTC